CACAAGCAGGGCTCTTACACACACACACACACACACACTGTAAGTTTTGGCTACTGGAAGCCGTCTTTTTTGATTAAGCATCTCGGCGTTCCCCGCGCGCCCTTCGGCAGATGCCCGGGGTTCCAAGGACGTTTGCTTGACCTTTGCTGTTGTTAAAGATGTAAACAACGACACTCCTCGTACCGCGGTGCTCAGTAAGAGCTGGCGGGCCGTCGCTCCAATTGTAGAACGTGAGCGATAATTACGTTGGAAGTATTATTTGATACTCCGAACGAAGAAAAAAAAAAGAAGCTTTCACTGACATTTCCCGTAGCAGCTGCAATCCATCAAGCTAATGTCAATGGAGAGAAGCTCATTAACCTGCTAATATTGGCCTCACTTTGAATCATCCGTTGAAATGCAGCACAAATGAATCTAAAAGAATCATTCAACATATTCTGAAATAGTTTTTTGAGGTCTCCCTGCCAACAGCTCTCAGGTCTGTGTGAGGCCTCTGAAGCCACAGCACGTTAGCTTAGCTTAGCTTAGCTCAGCAGAAGGATTGGAGCAAACCCGGGAAAGCTGTTTCCAGTGTGTGCGCTACGAGCTCACGTCGCATGAGTGGGATTCTCGTTCAAACGTTTGGCAATGAGGCGAAATAAGCGCATTCCACCAACATCTTGTACTACTGCTTTCATTTAAATGTGAAACATGGAAGGTATTAAATTGCCCGAGGCACCAGAGCATCCCAGAAGCAGGTCTGATTTCAGGCTCTGGATATTGTCAAACATGTGCTAGCAGTTTCCACCCGACACACATGAGGTTTTGAGTTCTACCTGGAGGACAGTAGGTATCAAGAAATGTCGTATGGAGCAGCTTCGTGTCTCAAACCTCCAAACAAATGTCATGCCAGCAGTTGAGATCGCTTCGCGCGGCAAATTCTTGATCTATTTGCCGTTTGTGTTTCGTGATAATCAAGTGATTTGACGGGAAAACGCAATGTCTTTTACTGACACGAATAATGTCCGTGGATGTTCTTCGTCTCAGGGACTTCCTTCTGAGTTGGAAAGACGTGACATAAAAAGAAAGCATAGCGTACAGAAACACACCAAAATGATTTCAAGTTGTATCAGCTGAAAGATGAAATGAGATAAAAGATGTTGAACGCAGACGTCGCGCCGACCAGCACGTCTGGTCTTTCTCATATTTAAATCCTTTAAATTTAACATCCTCTCGCATTCCCCCTTTTTTCATTATCCCCGTTCTTCCCCTCTGTCTCCATTTCTCCAGGTGTACGAGGGTAATTGCCACTCTGTTTCTTTAATTAAAATGAGGTCTAATTGTAGCTGGAGCAGAGCAAACGTTCACAGGCCTATAATTTCCCCATCAGACTCCGGAGCCACGCAGGAAAGAGTAGAATGAGGAGGGAAAGGGGGGGCCGCGAGAGGCCAACAATTCAATGCCAGCGATTCATGATGCGCTCGGGTTTGAGCTCCGGTCCTGACGCCTGAAGACGACCCTGTAGAAAAACCAGGGTGTGATATTTGCCGCCCAGTTAAGCCTTTGTGGGGGGAAAAAACGCAGGGTCAGGTTTTACATTTCCAAAGAAAACGCCCTCTATTGTTGTCTGCCTTTCACACAGAGGACCCAACACCTTCCCTTTGCCTGTGTTTTTTACGACATGGGTTGCATGTCAGAGTGTAAACCACACCACGCTAACTGCAGTACAACTACTTCAAACCTCCCTCTCACCGTCTCCACTTGGAATAGAAAATTCACTATTTTTGTTTCCATAAACCAGTCTAGAGCTTTTCTCCACTATCACCAGCATCAGCTCAGACCGGCCCGCTGTCTGTCTCGATTGTACTGTAATTACTGTACAATCGTTTTGTTTTGCGTCCGGGTGACAAATCTTCATTGTTCTGACATGTTTCTAACACTCTGGGCCACATCCCGGCAGCGGGTGGCCCACCGCCGCTGTAAAAATGGGTGGTGTGGTGGGTGGGGGGGGGGGGAGACGCCAGCTTCCTCTAAGCGGGGCTCAAGTCTGATTCCCACTTCAGTGAAAGGCGAGTCGCTGCACGCACACGATGAAGAGACTCACCATCTCATCTCATCCATCCTGTGTCATAAACCCTGATGATGGAGCAGATGATGAGCCGTGATTATCGTGTCGGGGGGGAGGGGGGCTGGTGTTTGTTTTCCATTCCTTTGAGCCAAAATAATAATCAGCGCATGAAAAAGAAGGAAAGATGCGCTTACGATAGGTGGAGGCGCGGCGACCCGACTCTTATGAATGAATATGTGTTTTTTCTTTTTTTTTTTATTACGCCAGAGTGAACCTCAGGTCGACGAAATGCGTGGAAAGCACCAGCCTGAACTTTGTCTGCCAATTATCCTCCTCACCCACCTCTCTCCTCTTCCCTTCCTGCCTCTCCATCGCCTGGGATCGTTGCTGTGGAGCCGCTGGGCTTCTGTGGCTGTTGAACTGGGGGGAAGAGGCGTGTGTGTGTGTGTGTGTGTGTGTGTGTGTCTTCTTTACGAGGAATCGTAAACAGTGAGAGTGAAAGAGAAGTGGGTGATAAATAATTGATTTAAGTCACATTTACCTCTCAGTGGGGTGTGCTGCAGAAGAAGCCTGAACAGTGGAACCTGAACGGTGATGTCATGCTCTGGTCGACCAGGTGACGGGAACGAGATGCTGGCGCTTTGGATGTTGTGAGGAAGACATGACGTGACATGATTCGGCTGTACGGCAGTGAGACGTGTGTGTGTGTGTGTGTGTCCACAGAGGGAACGTTTTAGACCACCAGCAGCTACGATGTGAGCGGCAGCCGGCGTGATGGAGTGATCATTGAAATCATTATGACAGAACGAGGATATTAGGAGTCAGACATTTAACTCTAGTTGTTTTCCACTTGTTCTTTTACCGTTAAGATCAGCCAGAATGTCCCCAGATTGTCCCTCACATGGCTTCGTACTGAGTCTTGGGTGACGGGCGTTCCAGCAGTCCATCCTGAATGCAGCGGGCTCGCCCGCCGCGTATCTGCTATCCGGTCGTCGTTTAACTGCTGAACAATGGCGTCGGATGAGACCTTTGTCTCCGAGGGAAGCGCCTGTCAGTCTGACGGGTTCTTGTTTTGCCGTCGGGATGTGGGTCGAGCGTGATTTGTCTCTCACTTTACTGGAGCTCACAGAGATAAATAACTGTTAGCCTTTGCGGTTGTTTTTGTAGAAATACTACGAGCGCTGCTTGTGTTTTAATATATTCATGGCGCTCGAGGAGGCCCCGACTGGCTTCGCCTCTCTCTACGAGAATGTTTCTCCAAACATCCTCTTCTCCTGCGCACCTCAGGTGCTCCACAGGAAACGGACTGTAGTCAGTGATTGAACACAGCGATAATAACATGGAAGGATGGGTCTTTATGAATCTGGCAGCGTATTTTGGAACGTTGCCATCAGACTACTATATAAATGTATGCATATAAATAATATAATACAATACGGCCGCAACAAATGCTTTTCCTCAAATATGTTCAATCAGCAATAATCTCAAACAGAGGAAATCAGAAACTTGAGCAGCTGCAACCAGACGAGATTTTGATTATCCAAATTACTGCTGATTTGTTTCGTTTTGGTTAATTAATCAATGTTTTAATCACAAACTGAAGAGGCATTCAACATGTAGTTCCAGCTGAGGAATAGGAAATGTAAACCGTATATGTGTGTGTGTGTATATATGTATATATAATATATACACACACACACACACATATAGTGGAGTTCCAGCCTACAGCCGCATAGTGAAAGAGCAACATTTGGATTAATACAGATGGACTCCCTGAGCTGCGTTTAGTCATATTTGATTTGTATAGATTTGATTTTGCATTCGGCGCAGATGTTTTACACCATTTAAAAAAATAACATGTTGAAGTCAGAAGTGGAAACAACTTTCCTCAAACAGTCGAGAATAACGACGCTTTGGCCTCATCCAGAATTCAGAGGGGAACATTTTTATTTCTTTAATGAATCTAATAAAAACAACCATATTAATAAGGTCAATAGTGTTTCAAAATATGGTTTTAGTGTATTGTAAGCATCGTTTTATTTATATGAAGCATTATTAATAAAAACATTATCACTATGGAAAAAGAAATATATTCAGACGGAAATAAACATTTTGAAAAAGTAAAAAGAAAAGAGGAAAAAGTAATTTAATGCTCAAATGTATTTTGTTGTGTTGTGTGTGTGTTACTGAGCGTATCGGATGCCTGATTTTATTGTTGTCACTGATTTATATTGGGAGCCTAATTCAACATAATAACACACAATAATAACAATAATAAGTTAATAACTCCAATGAAACTCCAATGAAAAACCCACTCTGAAACCCCCTATTTTCCCCTCAGCCTCCTTTTCGTTCTCCTTGATCGAGGAGCTTCTGCGGGGGGGAACACTTTAAAAACCAGAGCTATCTCTGCACCGAGCTGCATTCTTGAATTGCGATGCCGAAACACGGCGGAGCTGCTTCCGATTGTTTGCCGGCTGGCAGCTTTCTCCTCAGAAGATGAGGAGAAGAAGAGAACAGAAATCTACGCCATCGTAATGGCAGATGCACTTAAATCTTTACATTGCTTTACAGTCTGCTCTCCCGTCCCGACGACTTGTCCCGACTGCTCTCTGGACTCCTCGTCTACACCACGAGGGCCGTGGTGCTGGTTGGAGGGGGGAGGGAGGGGGGGGGGGGGGTAAAAGCAAACATGAGAGGAAACACAATACTCAGGCCAGGGGGAATGTTTCTGTAGATGTAATTGACTGGTGAAACTCCATCTTCCTGCGTAATCCCGCTGTAAGCCGGAGCCGATACTTTGCATGGAAGGCGGCGTGTGGAAATATGTCTCCCCCCCCGATTTTAAAGTCACTGGTGTCGTTTGAATGTAAATGAATCTCGCACATGGCATTTTTATGTTTCTCGCTGCGAGTGACGCTGTGTCTTTTTGCACTTTTTTCTCTTCTCACAGAGGTGCTGATGGACACAAAGACGGAGACCTCCGATCTCAGGTGGACCATCTTCTCGCACGCCACACCCGCGGTACGTAAACCCCAGCGCCGCCACGTCACCTGTATCACTGGCACAGACTTGTTTGTCCGTTTGGTGATTTTGTTTCTTTTATAAAAAGGCTCCTTATATGGCAGGTAACTGACAGAATGAAGCAAATGCCAGAGTGGATTTGGGATCCAAAGTACATTGAGAGCAGATGCTTTGATATTTTCCATCAAACTCAAGAGTCTTCTGGCTGCCCACAACGGTTGCAAACCGCTTCCAGAGAAAGACATATTTGTAATTTGATCATCCGAGGACGCCGGCAAGACGATTTTCGAAAACCAGACAGAAAACCAACCGGGCCGACCTGTTTTGAAATAGTTTGCACAAGCGTTATCATTTGAAGCCGTTCATCAACACCTTCCCGTTGTCAAACATTTCGCTTTTGTGTTTTTAACCCACAAACCAGGATTTAGTTCGAGGCGACGACGTCGGCTGTTTCAGATGTAAAACGGTTCATGTATGGGGATTTATTTCTAGCAATGAAGGATTATTATACATCATTCTTGTTAAGAATGTGTGTTAATTGTCGCATGAGGTACCAACACGAAGCCAACATTCACGTTAAACCTCCAGACATCGTTTGGCGGTCTAACAGTGATGTGAATTGATTTCCAATTCCACACTAAAATCTTGCGCAAAGAGCGATAACAAGGAATCGACCCCGCGTCGTGTTTCGACACCCATTTGCCACCTCTGACCCTTCAGTCCGCTCTGTAACGAAAGCGATGTCAAACATGTGACCAGTCTCGCAATGGGTCCGCGTGATTGCACATCACTGTTAATAATTCCTCCCAGTGATTTGTGTCCAAGCCAGACGAGCCCTACGGGATATTTCGTGCATCCTCCTCACGGGGAAAACTGTTTGTTCACAGAAACATGTGCCGCTAAAGTGTGATTCTCTTTTTTTGGGGTGGGGGGGACTCAAAGCGGAACCGTCCCCTGCGAGTGATTCCTACCTGGCTCTCGGGGCGCTGCTGCGCCGTAATTCATGCAGACCAGTCGTCTGCCTCACTCAACACATCATCTGCAAATGGATTTTTGGAGATTTACATATTTACATAACTGAATTTCTAAGCCTCGAGTTCAGCGAATGTGCTCAATTCTGCCCCCCAGTATGTTAATTTGTTGCTTGTTTCCCGCTCTTGGCTAACAGCCTGATGGTGAACATGTTTGCTGTTGACTCGAAAGTCAAACATTAAAGCTCTTTCTCAGTTGCATTTGGCTCCCCAGCAAATGTTGACTTGTGTGGAGGGTTTTCCCTTCGTATGTGTATATATATGTCTGCGATATCCCCCCCCACCGCCCCCCCTCTGTATTCCTGTATTTGAGTCTAAAAGTGTGTTTGAAGGGTGAAATCTGTCTGGCTTGTTGTGTGCAGCAGTGTGCTCTGTTTGACAAGTGAGACTCGTATTCCCACTCGCTGCGCTGCGGCTCAGCAGGACGAATGATTTAACAACACACAGTCACATTTGGGCCGGATCTAAACCCACAGCAGGCCACGCGTGTCCCTCGGGCTTCTGACAGGTGCCGCGACAGGAAGTTGCACCATTTTCTTATGAGAAATGGGGCTGTTTATGTGATGAATTTTTTTCAAAGAGCCCAGCGAAAGTCCAAGAGAACCCAAAAGGTCTTTGGGGTGTCATTTCAACTGGCGTCTTCTTCTTTTTCTGCAGTGGGAGCAAGTCAGCGGTTTGGATGAGGAGAGCCACAGCGTGAGGATCTATCAGATCTCGCAGACCGACAGCTCGTCCAGCCACTGGCTGCGCAGCGGCTTCATCCAGCGCCGCGGAGCGTCTCAGGTCTACGTGGAGCTGCTCTTCACCATGATGGAGTGCTCCTCCACCAGCTCCAACCACCGCACCTGCAAAGAGACCTTCAACCTGTACTACTACCAGGCCGACTCCAACAACGCCACGTCCTCCTACCCGCCCTGGATGGAGAACCCGTACATCAAGGTAGGTCCAAATGGCCGAGGTTGTGGGACGGGCCTGCTGTTATCAAGGGGGAAGTTTTTCTCTTTGTGCTATTTAAAACGTTATTGACTTTCACGTGGTAAAACATCTGCATTCCTTTCTCACGGCTGGTGCCACTGAGCCCGTGAGGACAACTTCAAAATGTCTTATTTTGCTCAGGAGGATTCTTCTTTTCACACTTGAGAACATAGTTAACTATAAGGCTCCGACTCACTGATTCTGTTTGTCTTGACCTTTAACAATATTTATGAACTAGACAAATTCCCTACATTTCATGAAAGGACTCAACTGGTCGTGTTATATCAATAATCGATGTATGTATGATCTAAGTTTATATACAAATATACTGGACATGACTGCAGACCAAAGCACATTTATGTTTTTTTAAAATTGGCCTCTAATGTGCATTTTGCTCTAATTCATTCCTGCAACAGTTGTCTGCTTGCAGAGACAACAAGTGTTGATTTAGTAATGCATTTATTACAGTTGGCATTTAATCTTCTCAGGGGAGCAAGTTCACATTTGAAAATTCTCCTCGTTGGTGCATTCAATCTGTTTCACAACCTGCGTGCTCGCCTGTTCACTGTCTGGCTTTCATTTTCACAACACATAACTCATGAGCAAAGTGCTTCCGGGCTTCTCATTATCAAACGTCTCATGAAGGTTTAAATTTGTAACTACTCCTTTTCTTTTATTAAGATTTAATTATGTGACTTTGACAAAAAAAAAGGAAAGCGATGAAATGTCCACTGTAATTAATGACGTTTCTCCAAAGCAAGTCCCTGAATGTCGAGGTTCAAGGCGTACTTTAGCAAATGGGAAACAATGGCCGCCAGGAAAGTGGGACATCAATCTAAAATCACAGCGGTGCGCTTTGTGCATTAATCTAAAGCACATGTGACGTCTAGCTAATGGGCTAAAATGGCTAAAACATGCGAAACCGCCAGTCTGGTCTCTTTCAAAAGCTGAGCCCTGCGCGTTGGAACCGGGCCATTACATCCGATGTTTTCTCTTCCTTCCTCTCGTAGGTCGACACAGTGGCCGCAGACTTTCTACTGCGGCAGGATAGGATCCGGAAATTCAACGTGAAGACCTTAAGGCTCGGCCCGCTCTCAAAGAGAGGCTTCTACTTGGCTTTTCAGGCTCAGGGCGCCAGCATGGCCCTGCTGTCCGTCCGGGTCTTCTTCAAAAAGTGCCCCCCTTTGGTCAGTGCTCTTTCCTCCTTCCCGGAGACGGTGCCCCACATTCTGGTGCAGGAGGCGCAGGGCGTGTGCGTGGCGCACGCCGCCCAGCAGGTGCCCCGACCCCGGCCGCCGAAGCTCTTCTGCGGGGAGGACGGCCAGTGGGTGGGCCAGCCGACGACCTCCTGCGCCTGCCTGCCCGGATACGAGTCCTCTGAGGGACACACCGTCTGCACAGGTGAGAAGGACGCCGTGTACATACACACATCTACTCCGCCCGGCCAGGCACCGCCAGAGCAGGCAGACTAAACAGGAAAACAATGGGAGAAGATGAGCGGGTGGGGAGGGGGGGGAGGTTCGGGGGGGATTAAAATGCTGGAGGGGAGAGATTGGAGGAGTTGGAGGAAGTTAATGAGGCAGCGGAGCGCCTGTAACACGGAGTGGACGGGGGGGAGAGGTCAGGGGGAGCGGCACTTATCTCAGACAGGAAGAGCAGGGTCAGATGCTCGCCGCTGCGACAACTCAACAGTTCAGCTGAGTTAGAGGGAGCACACAAGGGAGTGGGGGGGTGGAGAGGTGAAAGGAGCGCACAGGGGGAGGGGGCGCTCGGGGTAAAGATCATATCACTTTGAGAACATCAAAGCAAAGCGGGTCTGAAAAAGAGGGAGGAAAAAGCAGGATTATTCTCTCAGGAGCTTTGCAGCAGCAGCTCCGTCTAATGAGTCCAATTAACAAGCCGTGTGCATGAACATCCCCGACACACACACACACACACACTCTCTGCATCACACTAGCACAGATAAATGTTGAGCAGTGAAACCGCAGAGACGCAAGAAAGAAATGCTACATTTTCTCAAGAGGAGCATTATTGAAGGTTGGATACGGTTTGATCTCTGTGGGAGGTCTAATGATTTTTCTTTAAAAAAATTTAAAAAAAGATTTTTGACATTTTGCTTTCGGGGGAAGTGGCGCCGGCATTTCCAGCATTCTGTCACTTAAGAGCGCCGTGAGGAAGAAACACTCACCAGACCATAGAGGGAAATTGCCTTCATAGCAAGATTGAACTGTTAATTTGCTTCCTAGGCCGCTCACTGGAAATATCATTTATGTCTGCGTTTAACATTAAATCACTTTAGCTGTAATCCACCGAAGAAAACACACACATCTTCTAGGTCAAACACAACCCTTTCACGTACAACTTGAATGCTGTCAAGTGAGTGTTATAAAGCAGCTTGATTAGATTATTTAAACACATCTTTGAAGTAAAGCTCCAGCAGGCTATAAATACTTTTACAGGGGAGGAGTTGTGCTGCTATATTGTAGCTTTACCAACGTTATATAACACAAAAGGGTAGAAGACTGTTCTTGAAAAAGTATTACCACCATCTTGTCATCAATCTCCAGAAATGATGAGAATCAATCTTCATATTTAAAAATGATCACCATTATTATTTATTCAAGATAGTTTTCAGTCAGAAAAAGGTCGAGAACATAATCATCGGTCATATTAGCTTGGACAGCTGCAGCATTCCTCACGTTAAACTAAGCCAGGAAGTGTCTATTATGTAATGTTCTGTAAAGAAAAGGTTCAGAAGCACCAACATTAGATTAATAATCCTGACAAGAACCGCAAAGAACAGTCTTTAAAAGCTGGAAAGTGACACTTACACTGTTTAAAAAACTGAGAAAAGCAGTAAATCCTCATATTTGAGAAGCTTTAACCAGGGACCTTTTAAATCAAAGTGGTCTGCCAACCACTTGATTGATATAGCTTAACACTTTCAGCAGTAGTTCAGGCCCGTTTCACTGTGCCTTTACACTTTGAATGCCACCCGGAGCCGTTCATCAGTGGATCCACATGTTCGCTGTTGTTATTCTTAAAGGTACAGTCAATAATAAGCAGCATGTCAATGTCAGACAGGTTTATACACTATACTGACTATTACAATCGGCTTCATTACTGGGTCTGTCTCCAGTTAATGGCCTCCATCACACGGTTCTGTACCGTCAGTCAGCAACCATCTGGCACTCGAGGCCATGTGTTTGGCAAACTCGGTTTGACCCGTGCGGGTCGTGTCCCCTAATCAAAAGCCCTGATCATTTGCCCCCCTCACAGCTTGCCCAGTTGGTCAGTTCAAGCCTTCCTCGGAGGGGCGGTGTGCACCCTGTCCGGGTTTCAGCCACGCCGCCGCCAGAGGAGCGCCGGTGTGCGCGTGCCGCTCTGGATACCTGCGTGCGGAGTCCGACCCTCCCGACGCCCAGTGCACAAGTGAGTACATTTCATTACATTACATGTCACATAGCTGACGCTATTATCCAAAGCGTCTTACAATAATTGCATTTCAACCACAAAGACACAAACCCAGAAAAACAAGGAACAACAGAGTGCAATTTCATCAAATAAGCCGATTTACAACTTCTACAACAACAGCCATTATAAGTACAATTAAAGTGCTACAATTTGTTTTGTGTTTTTTAGTGCACCGGATTAAACGTACCGAAACGTCCCCTTGTTTGCTTTCACTTCTATGCTTTGCCCTGCTCGTCTTCCCTCTTCTCAATCTTTTTCTCTACCCCTCTGGTCTTATGTGCCCAAACTCGTCTAATCCGTCTGCGTGTCTTTTGTCCCGCTGCTGGCCATTGAGAAACATTGTCTTTTGTGCCAGGTGGCTGGGGGCAGGGCCTCCAATCTAAAGTGAAGTAGCCATTGATGGTCTTAAGTGACACCTCCATGCAGATTCAGGAATTTTAATTCTAGCCACATATTGTGTGAATGGGAGGGACTTTGTTATTAGGTGCTCTCTTTTGTAAATGGCCATAAAGAGGATGTGAAACAAAGTAAAACCCGGTGGGGGTGTTAGGAGAACTTGTTCTCTGCAGGTGTGATATCAATGTGATATCAACTAGAATTTACCTCCAATTTTATTATTACTGATAACTTTAATTACAAGGGATTTATCTTAATTGTGAATCACCTAATTCCATTAATCGCCATTCCTATTATTCATTCTGTTATTTTACTGGATTTCCTGTGCAATTATCCCTATCACTTCTATTTTTCGATTTGTATGCAAAATTGTTAACCGGATGCGCCAACTGTGAATGACGCAGAGCTTTTCCCCTGAAAATAAGTGTTTTACATAACTTAAACCAGCCCTGGTGATTTTAATAATTCTGATTGTTGAGTCATCAAATGTATCAAAATGTTTAAAAAAAATCCCCATTCCCAAATGCCGAATTCAGAATTCATTTGCATCCAGATCGTCTATGATTCTGCCCCACTTGGGTTTCCAGTGAGAACACTATTAGGACACTAGTTAGCTGCCGGCTCAGTGACAAAGCTCCGTCTCCTCGGCAGGAGCAGAAACCCATTTTACTGCGGCTGAGTGGTATCACTGTTTAGTTATGCTTGGCTTCAGGCAATAGCTATCGTCTTACAATTTTCAGACGGCGATCACTATCATCCGGTTTTAGACAAACTGCAATTGCACCGGTTCAATTCCGCAACACATATGCTCCTGCTGCGACGCAAAGGCAAAACCAAAACCAAATGATCTGTGGGGGTCATGGAAAGGTAAAGCAGCAGTAAAATGACTCAGAAGATATTAGGATTTGATTTGATGGAGACGTTCGTGATTATTGCATCAGGGCTAAGAGGCCGAGTTATGTGACAAATATTTGGCGGATGACTTCTGAGGGTAATCGGAAGAAAAGACCAGGTACATTTAGAGAAATAGACTCAATTTGTTTTTGGAGATTTTCATTATTGATTATTTTTTGTGTGGTGGATTTAAAGCGGCTGTTTGGGGAAAGATCCACAACAATAAAACAAAAATCCACCAACCTGCACGTCCAAAGCTCACTGATCTTTGTTTAATAAGGACTCAAAGTATAAAGAGGTCTACTCATTTCCAGCACTCGCATTAAGAAGAATGACAAATAAAACCCCGTTTTTGTCACTTCAGCACCTCCCTCGGCTCCGCGCAGCGTCGTCACCCAGATCAACGACACCACGCTCAGCCTGGCGTGGAACGAACCTCTGGACAGCGGCGGCCGGGCGGACCTGAGCTACGCCATCGAGTGCTCCGTGTGCAGGTCGCCCAGGGGGCCGTGCTCCTCCTGCGGGGACAGCGTCAGCTACCGGCCGGCGCAGCGCGGCCTGCAGGGGCGCCGGGTGGAGGTGTGGGGCATGCTGCCTCAAACCACCTACACCTTCACCATCCAGACGCTCAACGGCGTGTCTCGCCTCAGCGGCAAGGACCCCGCCAGCGAGACCGTCAACATCACCACGAGCCACGACGGTAAGACGGGGACTGAAGGGGGGGCGGTACGAACAGTCCGGAATTCCATGTGATGCTTATGATTCCTCGGCCGTGTGTGCAGTGCCCTCGCTGGTGTCTGTGGTCCGGAAGGGCGACTCCACGGAGAGCAGTCTGACTCTGCACTGGTCCGTCCCAGCTCAGCCGCACTACGCCATCCTGCAGTATCAGCTGCGCTACTGCGAGAAGGTGAGAGCCTCCCCCACCCCCACCCGCCCCCCTCCACCCGAAGACGTCTCTAAACCGTCTGACTTAAAGGTCACGTAGCGTTGGGGTTTCATTGTTTTTCACAGGACGCACACACTCGACACACGGGTGTGGACTTTGCATTTCTATGGGAGGGTTTGTCTGACTAAACACGAGAGAAGCCCGACTCAGAGACCCCGTCGTACAAACGGAGACACAAGACAGCTTTGTGTCAACCACGCAAATCTCTAAACATGTGTTCTCCTCCACCACAATAACATAATTAGAGAGCAGATTGTGTAATTGTGTTTGAACGTTCTGTGATCAATTGCAGTCAATTCGACTGAACTTTGCGTCGACGTTCAACAACGACGGCGCTTGAAGCTGGGGGGTTTTTTCCCGCTCACTCCCAGTTCAGCTAACTCGTGTTTTTCGTGCGGCAGGAGCGACGCAGCGAGGACCAGTGCCACTACACGGAGAGTAAAAGGAACCAGGCCGTGCTGACGGACCTCCGCCGGGCCACTCAGTACGAGGTGCAGGTCCGAGCGCGCACCGCCGCCGGCTACGGCAGCTTCAGTCCCGCGGCCTTGTTCCACACGCTGCCCGACGGTAGGTTTCGCTCCCGAAGGGGGACTGTTCACGAGCTTTATTATTATTTCACACTTTTTTTTTTCTTTTTCATTTCCATCAGGAAAGGTTTTTTTTCGGGTTCTTTCAGTCCCCGCACATTTTTTTTGCTGTTGAATGAATGTACCGTGTGTGTCCTTCTATTCAGTTTTTGTCCTTGTATTGAGCCTCTTTAATATTCAAAATTCCTGTCATGTTCTTTCTTTCCTTTCAAACCTGTTTTTTTTCAATTTGCAGCAGCAAAAAAAAAAAAAAAAAACTCTTCTGTGATCTTTGTCGTTAAATTTTCTCCAACTCTCTGTCTTCCAGGTCACGACTCAGCCGCCCAGTTCTTAATACCTGGCATCCTCATCGCTGTGGGGATGCTGCTGCTGGTCGCTTTTGTCTTAGTGGCCGCCTACTGCATACGGTGAGAATGAAGGAAAGAGAGTGCAAGCAGAAACAAAAAGATGGATTTTTAAGGGAAAGAATCTGACACAATAACAGGAAACGGATCATCGAAAAACAAACCGTGACCCCAATTTTACAGTTTTACACCCCTTTGTTCTTTTGTTTATAGAAGTCGTGTCTTATCGACAGTGGATTTGCACTCTGTTACCCACACTATGTTTTACTGTGTGAGGCCGTTCAGGCACAAAGCAAGGCTCATGTTGCCTTTGCTTACGCTGCCAAAAGTTATCAAGCTCATTAGAACCTTTTTCTTAGGCTTCATTGTTTGAGTAAATACTGCTGGATGGCATCCGAGGGGGAAAGTGTGTGTGCGTGTGTGTGTGTGTGTGTGTGTGTGTGTGTGATTGAGAGAGCGAGAGCGATGACGGTAGAGGCAGAGGGCAGGGAGAGACAGGATGCAGGCGTCCCAACCCTGTTTCCACAGGGCAGGAGAACAATAGCCGTGACCTTGTGACACGCGCACACACACACACACACACGCACACACACACATACACGTACATACACACAAACCGGTGGCTGAGGCCCAGATCTGCCACTAGCTCAGGGTGGTGCACATTATTGCTATTTTAGGCTTATGAGGTGGGAGCAGGAGAGAAATGGAGGAAGGTGGGGATCCAGTAGCCACAGGGCTTTTGCAGTTTTAATGGAGCCGCTTGAATCAAGGAGTAGAACCGCTAGGGTTTGTTCGCCGTTATCACGAGCAGCCGTCGTGCGTTAGAGATCGCTGAGGGTTGTCAACAAGATTTTGTGTCAAAAAAAATAACAGGAGTTGTTCTTGGGTTTTTCGGTCCGTAGCTGATCTCACCGCTGGCCTCAGTGAACAGAACCGAGATAGCCGAATGTTTCCAAAGGTTGTTTTTTTTAAAAGATACAATGTACTTTTTCCCTTGTCAGACTTTGTATTTCATCCACGGATACTTAGCACATCGTAAGACCCGTGATTTGCATAACATTGGGCTGATAAAGCACTAACAATGCTTCCCAAACAAAGGTATGATTCTCGTTCTTCAGCAGTGCAAATCCTAATCTTTATCTTATTCCTCCCCAATCTTTTTCTACCTGCAGCAGACACAGCCGGGTAAAAGATCCAGAGTTGAGCGACAAAAACAGCCAGTACCTTATTGGCCAAGGTAACAGACCAAGGACACGCACACTAAACCTTAGCTGGGATTTCAAATGTGCTCACGTCAAGAGATTTGCTCAGAGTACTCAACATTTCTTCTCTTCCTTTCCCACGACTCCTTTTGTTTTTATTTTACAGGGGTCAAGGTGTATATCGACCCCTTCACCTACGAGGACCCTAATGAGGCCGTGCGAGAATTTGCCAAGGAAATTGATGTTTCCTTTGTCAAGATCGAGGAGGTTATCGGTGCTGGTAAGCTTCAGGCCTCCCATTATTCACAAATGTTCTCTTTGTGGTCACACAAAGCCAAACAAATTAGCAACTTTCGACAAAACATGATTAGGAATATATTTCATTTACTAGGCCGAATTGACTCTGTGACATTTGAAAAAACAATTGTCTTTATTATTCTTTATCGGACAAAATCCAATATTGCCGCCTCACTAAAGCAATAAACTGATAAATATGTTTCCAGTCGGTACAAACTAAAGTGCACCGCTAGCTTCAGGCGAGCTTTACGCTTGCAGAAGACCAATGGCCTCGTCCTAATGTGGTTAACAGCAGTTAAAGAAGACGCGGTTGTTTGTGGGTGCGTGTGCTGCAGGAGAGTTCGGGGAGGTGTGTCGCGGGCGGCTGAAGGTCCCGGGGAAAAAAGAAAACTACGTGGCCATCAAGACACTAAAGGGAGGCTTCACTGACAAGCAGAGGCGGGACTTCCTCTCCGAGGCGTCCATCATGGGTCAGTTCCAGCACCCCAACATCATCCACCTGGAGGGGATCATCACGGCCAGCTGTCCGGTTATGATCCTCACAGAGTTTATGGAGAACGGAGCTCTGGACTCGTTTCTGCGGGTGAGTGTGACACCAAAAAACAACCCAAAAACCCGCTGAAAACACACAGTCCTTCTCCAACTCAACCCGCCTCTCTCCTGCGTAGCTCAACGACAGCCAGTTCACTCCCATCCAGCTGGTGGGGATGCTGCGCGGCATCGCCTCCGGCATGAAGTACCTGGCGGAGATGAGCTACGTCCACCGAGACCTGGCCGCCCGCAACATCCTGATCAACAGCAACCTTGTGTGCAAGGTGTCCGACTTCGGCCTGTCGCGCTTCCTGCAGGAGAACTCGTCCGACCCGACTTATACCAGCTCCCTGGTGAGATGATGCTCCTGTCATGTCTGGATCTTTATGAAGATATATATACACACACACACACACACAGTCCTTACTTTCCTTCCTTGTCAGAGATCCTGTCTGACTGTGCTTATTTGAAGTTTTGCAGTGCTGACTGTTTTCTTTTCTGTGCAGGGAGGTAAAATCCCGATTCGCTGGACAGCCCCGGAGGCGATAGCCTTCCGAAAGTTTACTTCAGCCTCGGACGTGTGGAGCTACGGCATCGTCATGTGGGAGGTCATGTCTTTTGGAGAGAGACCCTATTGGGACATGAGCAACCAGGATGTAAGTTTCTTTTCTTTTTAATACCATTTGGAAGTTTTTGGAAGTTTTTGTTTAGCAGAGTTGAGCTTCTGCAAAACAAAATAATAAAAGTCTGAGAAAAAAAAAGCCGCCCAAGCAGCTCCACTCTTTTTGAAATAAAAAAGTTAAAGCATTGGTTTCAATAGTGATTCTTTTTCTGCCCATTAGGTCATCAATGCCATCGAGCAGGACTACCGGCTGCCGCCCCCACCCGACTGCCCCACCCATCTGCACCAGCTGATGCTGGACTGCTGGCAGAAGGACCGCTCGGCGCGCCCTCGCTTCTCGGACCTGGTCAGCGCCCTCGATAAGCTCATCCGCAACCCTGCGTCGCTGAAAATAGTGGCACAAGACGGAGCCGGGTGAGTGCAGAAAAAGAGGCCCGGTGAGGTCGGAGTAGCAGCCAACATACAGCTTCAGAGAGGAGGAAGCATGACAGTGCTTTCATGATGTCATTGTCCATTTAGAGTTGGAATGGTCACAGGACACTCATTACCCTCCTACTGCCCCATCTTATGTCCCACTTCAATGTCCTGCTGTGACCTGTCAGCCACTTGCTGTTCCCATTTCCCGCCCTCCGCATTCTGCCTGTCAGCCGGGCGCATACAGGAGAGGACACCCGACCCCCGAAAAAATCCCATTGTTTGCCCCCGTCACTCAGCTCGCACCTTTGCTTGTGGTGTGGAATGCTTGCTGCTGGGTATTTATAAGCTCCTCTGTGTCGTTACGGCGACGGGGTGACTAAGTCCTTACATGGTTCCTCTGCTCTGCGCCGTAGGCCGTCTTACCCCCTGCTGGACCAGCGTGCACCTGTGGGCCTCTCGTCGTGTGCTTCAGTGGGGGAGTGGCTGAGGGCCATCAAGATGGAGCGCTACGAGGACAGCTTCCTGCAGGCCGGCTTCAACTCCGTGGACCAGCTGACCCACATCACCACACAGTCAGTTCCCGTCTTCTTATCTTGAATAAATTACAAAATGTATTTCAATTGAAGTCAGGTGGAAGTGAAAAATGACCCTCCTTTCATTTTTTATTTCCCTTTTTTAATGAGTGATTTGTGTCTTCTGTGTTCAGGGATCTGCTGCACATGGGAGTGACTTTGGCCGGCCACCAGAGGAAAATCCTTTCCAGCATCCAGACAATGACCTTTCAGAACAAGAGCACGGCGAATGTGACCTTCTAGCTGACCTCGTTCAGCAGCGCGGACGCCAGCCGTCTATTTGGAGCGCTCTGGACGCTCTCCTGTGACCCACTTTGAAACACGGCCTTCAAGGGAAATCCGCGGGATTTACCTATGACCAAAAAAGACTTAGAAAAATGAGTGACTTAAGATGACTTTCCCATGAGAGGGAGTTCTCCAGCCACGTCACGCGTCACGGTGGCGTGTCCCCGACAGACACAGTGACAATGGGACAAAGTTGCTGTTGAGCAGACTTTATTTTTTTTTATAGTCAGTGTTTTTGTATCTAATCGGAATAAGGACCCGATCAATGTGCTAAACCAAGAGGAGGGACTCATCAGAATTCACAGAGATTCTGTAGCATCCTGTCGTCATGGAAACCGACCGTGGACAAGTTAGTTGTCTCAGCAAAAAGAAATGCCGGTGGCAATACAGGCATTTCAGTTTTCATATTGTTGTTATTATGAATGTCTTACATTTAATCCAATTGGATTACATTACTACGTATAGACTTTTTCATATTGAGACTGAACATTTCTAAGAGCTTTTAACAGGATTTTTATTTTGTTTTGTTTTCTGTTTGACTTCCACATTACCTCCTCTTTACTCAGGTGTGATGTGTGATGCAAACTCCGGAGAACGCTGCAGTTGTTCTTCCTAATCAGAGTTCTTTCATCTTCTCCAGTCTCCTTCTTCATCGACTCCACAGCGTATGAGGAGAGAGACACAGAGACATATCAGCACTTTTGTCATTTCAGAGTGAATATTGATCTTCAGTAACTCCATCCGTTTCTCTCGGGGTAGTTGCTTATTCCCGCTGCCGGTTGTTTCGGCTGGCAGGTCGGTTTCATTATAGTCTGAAGACCGACCCAACAAGGACCAAGTGGGATCCGATGCCTGAAAACACCGGAGAATTGCTTTTCCTTTGTAGAAATATACAGAGGAAACTGTTTAGTCTCGAACGTGTTTTTCTTGATGAAACTGATGCATTGATAATTCTCTTATTCTGTATTCCCCATATTCCTGTGCCATTCAGTTGTCTTTGTGGACTTAATTGCAAATTTTATAAAGCAGAAATCTCTCATAAGTGATTATTGTCTCATTAAAATGTAACTCAAAGGGTTACTTTGACATTTTGAAGTGTATTATTTGTGCTGGTTGTGTAGTTGGCACGTTGTTCCTGCCTTTGCCTCAGATTCTAAACATTATGCATTAAAGTAAATGTACAGCTACCAGCCAAGCTAACGTGCTGGCTCGTAGCCACTAACGTCCATTGGTGTCTGTTGGAGTGAATCACAGGCTGCAGTTCAAAATATCCAAATATTGCTTGAAGATCTCTAGGAGGAGACTACCAGTCATTTTGGCAAGTCGTTCATTTTCCTGCTGTAAATCTGGAAAATAAAGTATAATCAGCTGCTAAAACCAACACCAAATAAATACATTGAAAACAAAACAAAACTTTTTCTTTGCAGTTTTTTTCCTTAGTGCCATATAATTCGTCTTACAGCAATTTGGGTTGACGTTGTATTTCTGTCATATACAATTTATTATCTTGGTTTTCAAGAGGCTTAAAGTGCAATTTACACACATTCAAATTCCATTCAAATGTGATGGTTGTGATGTAAATGTAGGTCGGATTGATTCACATCAAACCCTCGGTGGGAGCAACGGCTGCACTGCGGGTTACACTTGAAAAAATATGCCTGGTGATACAATAAAATCATCCACCCTCTTAATTAACATAGTTTTATGTCATAGGCCCATCAGAAACGCTGGTATTGTCACGGAGGAGTCTGCCAGATTCATTTAATGGTCATGAGCAACGTGGTCTTCATATTGAAGAGCTCAATGAAATCGACTTTAAAATAATGTATACATAAAGTATGTTTTAATTACTGTCCTGTGTGTGGGCTAATCTGTATTCAGTATTCATAATAAAGATGCACTACCAGTGTTTACTATGAAGGACTCGTATCTCTGATTATCAGGTGTCACCTGAATGTCTGACTGCATCATTCTACGTCAAAGGAAGATCCCGAAAGGGAAAAATAAAACTTGTGCCAGTGAACCCTGATGACTTTTCCCCGAAATACAGAGCAAAGCAGCTCCACTTTTGCCAAAACACACTGAAGCCAAGCATATTCCTTTTAATTTCATTTTGGTTCTCACTAACGTGAAATAAATAAACCGTTCCTGTGGTTATCTTGGGTCAGATAAGGCCTCGTCTGGTCACGCTCACGGTGCAAATGTGCAAGGAAAACATCTGTTTTTATGTCTCCCTTTGTGGCTCTTGTTGCCAACACGCCTCTCATCTTCCCCAGTCGCTCCCCTTTTTTTTGATAATGAGAGGGAAACAGGACACGGCCACAGCGAGGATTGAGACTCACTCCCCCTGCATTTCCCAGCTTCGCCTCCTCTTCGCCTTCCATCCCCTCGAGGGCTGCAAGCGTGTCCTCTCCTATGTTTCTCTTCCTGGTCCTCGGCTCTTTTAATCACGAAGAGATGTTCCTTTTCTTCTCCCGTGCCTCGGGCCGAGAGCAGCTTAGAGAGCGCCCAGCAAAAGCTTATACTAATCTCCTCACCCGCCCCCCACCTCTCGCTCTCTATCTCTGTAACCCGGCGGAGCTGTCAGGGCTTCAAGAAGTGTTTAGTTTCATTGACTAATGTCCTTTGATTATGTCCGTGTTACTGACTCATTCCTCTTGTTCTACTGCTCTCTTGTGGCCCACAAAGTACAGACCTGCGCCAGTGGAGGTAAATAACTGTGAATAACTCCTCTATTTCCTCCTCCTTTTTTCTGTTATGCCGTGTATGGATCTCTGTGTCGGAGTGAGTCATTGTTTGAAAGGGAGGGGCGGGCATTCCTCTCTGGTTTCTACTTCTGTCAGTGCTTTTACGTGACCCTTGACCCCTCCCTCCCCGGCCGTATAGCAGGAATCTAGCCTGGGCTTTGTCTGGCGATGTGAATGGCCATTCATTAGGCCCGCTGTCGAGCGGAGAGCCGACCAGGCCGCCCAGGTTTCAGCATTCAGCGGATTGTGTCATTCCCCTCGCATTCCTTGCGTGCATTCAAGTGTGAAGTGTGAGCGGGTAGGTGGTGCAGGGTGGATGGGTGGTGCAGGGTGGGGGTCAACCAGCACGACAGGTACATTCGCGTTTGCATGCGGGACGAGAGGGGGAGGGAGGCGGGACGAGAGGTGGTTTCACCGCGTCTGCAGCGGTAAACGGGAAAGTGACCGTGCACCGGATGTGCTTCGTCAAAGGTGTAAAGATGGATTTAGATGGAGATGACACGGTGATTAAAACAGCCTGATCTCCAAAACTTGTTGGTAAAAATGTATACGAAAATCTTGAACATGCAAATTTTGTAGTGATACATACGAAATAAATACTGACTGCAACTGATGACGTCACCCTATTCAAAGTGAACGGGGACCTGCGCCCCGTAAACACACTTTGTGAAGTCTAACGATGTAAAATAAACGTGTTATGATTGCATTTTTAACGAGAAATCAATGTTAACTTGTAAGAATAGAATACTAACCCTAACCCCCTCAAAAAATCCAACATGGCGGAGAGACGTTCACTCAAGAATCCGACATGGTCCGCCATGTTGTTCACTCAAGGGGCGTGGTTAACCACCGCCACTTCGTATGTATTGTTACGAATTTGTATGTTCAAAATTGTTGTATCCATTTATACAAACAGGTTTTGGAGATCACGTTGGATTAAAAAAAGATCCTGATGACATCGTGTGGGTCAATGCACGAAACAGCCGTCCCTCAAACATGAGTTTGGAGATCCTGGAACGAGTGCAGCAGCATCAATGAGGCTCGCGCCGTCGTCGCCGTGTTTGTAATCTTTCATATGATGACCCCCCTCCGCAGCTGTTGAACAAACTAGATTGTTTTCCGGCCCATCAACAGTATTAGAGCCGGTTGAGCTCAATGCGCTGCATTGGTTCAAATGCCCCTTTTTGCATTGAAACCCCCCCCCTTTGCCTGGCCCCTTCCTTCTTTTTGGCTTGCAGAACTGCTTTGATTTCCCTCGACAGCATGGTCGAGGCTTGAAGAAGGGCAGTTACATTTGAGATTGTCATTCATCTCTCTCTCTGGCTCCCGGTGCCAGATCTCCTCCCCGGGATCCGTCGCAGGCCACTTTTGATTGAAACGGCCCGATGTTTCTGAGCAGAGCAGCCAGCGGAGATTATTTCCTCACCTGTGTACGCAGCGTGATCGGGTGGTGAAAGACGGGAGGCACGTCGCGCGGCTGAGCGCCTCCGCTCTGTTTTGTATTAAGTTTGATCACTGGGAAAGGTGTCCCTCCCCGCTGTTCCACAGCCTTTCTGTTGACTCTGCCGCAGCTCCTGCCAGTGCCGTGGCTGTAAATAAGAGTTTGTTCTTCACTGACCCACCTGGTCAAATAGAGGTTTGGAGGAATTTAATTATACTTTCATGCGCCGTTTGATGTGGAATTAGTCTTGTACTTTTCATCGCGCCCTTAATCCGTTTTAATCAACGTAAACCTTTAGATTACAGGCCCCTGCTGTCCCCTCGGTGTTATTATTTTTATTATTTGTTGTAGACAAGTGTTCAAATGTTGTTCTATTATCTGCTTCCAGGCTGTCGCCACCAGATGAATTCATTTTGGTGTGATCTCAATTGATTTGATTTTTCGGGAAGTTCCGCAGTCACACAGAGACGGGCCTGCTCCTCTCTGTGTAAGAATGGATTTTCCATAAAGCCCAATGGTTTCATATACTTATACATAAACATTACGGCTCCAAAGAGGCCCCGAACACATGTAGCTCGCGTATTACTTCTCCTCCGCCAACCAGGCTTCAAAGGACAGACGAAGGTGTTAGCGGGACGACGAATGCAGATGTGAACACCTCTAGGACGAGCGACCGGCCCCACCGAAGGTGTTTCCCGGTTCCTGTGCTTTCAACGGGCCCCCCCCCTCAGTCCCCCTCCTCCAGCCCCCCCGTGGCGCCCTTTTGTTTCCCGCTCTGCTGAGATGTGTCCGCCGCCTTCAGTGAGGAAATGAAAGGAGCGTGACCTTCCGTGCTTCTTATCCTCTCGCCGTGAATCACCCGGTGTACTCTGAAACTCAACCCACATGCGTGGAGAAACACTACGCTAGGGGGAGGTAAGGGGGAGTAAGGGGCAGGAAGGGGGGAGGGGGGTGTTAGGGTTATCAAATGGCTCTACATTGTCAGAAGTAGTGAGGTGTTGTGTGACAGAAAGGGCCCCGAGTGTGCGTCTGAATGGTAAAGAGGTTTCTGATGGGTGTACTCGGAGGGGTTGACCCGCAACCAAAATGAGACAAACGCAACCTTTTCTCACCGCAAAGTCACAAAGAATTTGAAGCATTTGGAACACTCGATTGGGTCGGGTTTCTTGTCGTCGTTTCTCGTGATTACAGTGAAGCCCGGTCTTTCTATTTGTGTTGTGGTCGTAGCTGTTTACCTTCACTGGATGTTTCCCCTTCTTTTTTGACATTTTAATTGTACAGTTCGGTAACCGATCGCCTAAATGAGCTCTTCTCGTGGATGTTTACAGAGCGAATGAGTGGTAAACACTGAATATTCATGTAAACAAGCGACCACATGTGAGCCTCTGCACTGCAGAACTGACTTTGCTCTGAAATCTAAAGTCTGTACCTGATTCAGTCCCCTTTTTTTGTCGGGGGGGTTGGGGGTTGCATGAATGTAGCTCCTCACACAGCAAGCCAGCGGATTAACCCCCCCACCCCCTTCTGTTCCCCCAGGGCCCCCCCCCTGAAAACCTAAACCCGCTGCTGCTGCAGCCTGGTCCTGATAAATGACAGTCCATCACTACTGTTGATTATACTGTAAAAACACGACCACACGTTAGGTTCTGACCCCACGCACGAGCCGGGTGCTGCAGTCTGCAGGGCGGTCAGGGGCGTGAGTGTGTGTGTGTGTGTCGGTGTGTGTTTGTGTGTGTCACCTTTGTGCAGCATGTGCAGAGTCCACTTAGAAATCTGAGGAAGGAGCATATGGTTATGATTCAACCAGCATCTGGATGCAATACAAAGCAGATTTTCAGAAGTATGAAATATGTGTGTGTGTGTGTGTGTGTGTGTGTGTGTGTGTGTGTGTGTGTGTGTGTGTGTGTGTGTGTGTGTGTGTGTGTGTGTGTGTGATAGAGTCAATGTGTATTGCATGTAATCAGACCAAACACAGCCCGTGTGCTCCCTCTAGCGTGCACAAACTCCAGCGCGGGTTATCCGACAGAGAGAAGACAATCATTCTTATCCTAACGATGGTCCCACTGGGGGGGGCAACGTTAATGAAAGCTTGAAATACATGAACATGAAGCCGTCTGCACTGTCGGCAAGGACGCGCATCGGTTCCAACCAAGTCAATTAGACCACACCGCCGCGTGGGGCCACGCGCGCGCGTCACGCACGGAGCACGTTTGTCTTTGCTTGGCCACAGCAGATGCGTGACCTGCAATGTCTGTCTCTCCTCCACACGTCACAGGGTCTTCACGGTAACTTTGAATCTGCTACCAGACGTTGCGCGCGGTGTGTTGATTCAGCCCGCGCTGCTCTGGCGCCATCCGGCGGCGATACGGCGAACGTTGCACCATGAAAGAAAACATTTACATTTTCCATTGAGCTAACGTTTTTTTATCCAAAGCAACTTGCAATGACACATTGATGTATTTCTGCGGTGTCTACGTTTGGCTTGAAAGTATATCATTGTTATTTGATGACTTGTCCACTATGTCAACCCCCCCCCCTTTCTCATCCGTGTGACGTTCATAAGGAGAATTATAAATGCTGCAGATATTAATTAATTTTTTTGTAGGGCAGCCCCATAATTTAGGATTTCACTGTTTCCCATCAACAAAAAGCCTGTAGGATTATGAATGTTTTTCACTAAATAAAAACAGCAAGCGGTAATTACTGGCGTATTTGTTTATATTTGTATATAT